GGCAAGGTTTGTGCAGCGTCTGGCCCCCCAAAGACTGTGATCGTGCATGTGAACCCATCGATGCGTGTGCACGTGACCCTTGTGTGACTCTGTCTGACTGGTGTCTTTCTCATTCAAATCAAGGCTGCTCATTATAACCACAGCCCCAGGACGAGTCTCTGGAACCAGACCAGAGCTAGACATGGCTCCAAATGAACTGAGGTTTTCATACGCATCAGAGGGAAAGAGCCAACATACTTCCTCTTAGGCTTTGTTCACTTGTTAATTTAGACAAAAGAGCTGGAATGGTTGCGAGAAACAATGAGCACTTTCTTTCCCAATTGCAACAATACTGAGTTATAGGCATTTGACAAATCCTCAGTCAAAGTGAATTATAGAAAACTAAAATATAGAACTATTCATGCACAATGTCCATGAACCTTATATCAACCAATATCTGCTTCTTCATTTAGTCCATGTGTTTTATTGCAGTCCATTACATTTTAGTTCACCAATCACACTGAAGACCTCATATGCGGTCGCGCCAAAATATCTACATTACTCAAACAGTCCAACCCAACTTTAAATTAGCTTTTTTTTAAACGTCCCACCAATTACTGTGACAATGAACTGCTTTTATGACTTTGTTTTTAAACAAGAAAACATTGCGGTGATGTCGCCGTAGTAACGTAACAAGGATAGAGATGGGTTGGTTTAACATATAGTTTTCTAATCATCTGAGTCTTGGCACTATTATAGTGTCTGTCATAGCTAAACTAAATGAGAAAAATATTCTTTCCATCAACTGCTGACTTCACTTGTAATTTCACTGATGCTAGCTTTACTTGACTTACTTCAAACATAAAGATATAAAAAAAATAGTTTTTGTCATGAATCAATAACAAGTGGGACACAATCGTGAAGTGGAATGAAATTTATTGGATAATTTAAACTTTTTTAACAAATAAAAAACTGAAAAGTGGGGCGTGCAATAATATTCGCAATATTATGCGCTAATACCTTTGTAGCGCCACCTTTTGCTGCAATTACAGCTGCAAGTCGCTTGGGGTAAGTCTCTATCAGTTTTGCACATCGAGAGACTGGAATTCTTTCCCATTCTTCCTTGCAAAACAGCTCGAGCTCAGTGAGGTTGGATGGAGAGCGTTTGTGAACAGCAGTCTTCAGCTCTTTCCACAGATTCTCGATTGGATTCAGGTCTGGACTTTGACTTGGCCATTCTAACACCTGGATACGTCTATTTGTGAACCATTCCATTGTAGATTTGGCTTTATGTTTTGGATAATTGTCCTTTTGGAAGATAAATCTCCGTCCCAGTCTCAGGTCTTTTGCAGACTCCAACAGGTTTTCTTCCAGAATGGTCCTGTATTTGGCTCCATCCATCTTCCCATCAATTTTAGCCATCTTCCCTGTCCCTGCTGAAGAAAAGCAGGCCCAAACCATGATGCTGCCACCACCATGTTTGACAGTGGGGATGGTGTGTTCAGGGCGATGAGCTGTGTTGCTTTTACGCCAAACATATCGTTTTGCATTGTGGCCAAAAAGTTCGATTTTGGTTTCATCTGACCAGAGCACCTTCTTCCACATGTTTGGTGTGTCTCCCAGGTGGCTGTGGCAAACTTTAAACTAGACTTTTTATGGATATCTTTGAGAAATGGCTTTCTTCTTGCCACTCTAAAGGCCAGATTTCTGCAGTGCACGACTGATTGTTGTCCTATGGACAGACTCTCCCACCTCGACGGCACGGTGGCTGAGTGGATAGCACTCTCGCCTCTCAGCAAGAAGCTCCTGGGTTCGAATCCCGGCCGGACCAGGGCCTTTCTGAGTGGAGTTTGCATGTTCTCCCCGTGTCCGCGTAGGTTTCTTCCGGGTACTCCGGTTTCCCCTACCACTAAAAATATGTACAATAGGTCTGGCATGCGCCTCCTGTTTGGCGACCCTGCTCCCATCTCTGTGTGGAGTGAGAGGACAAGTGCCCAAAAAAATAACAATTGTAAACCGCTTTGTGACTCTGGTCTGTGAAAGGCGGTATATAAATAAAGCTTACTTACTTACTTACCTCAGCTGTAGTTATCTGCAGTTCATCCAGAGTGATCATGGGCCTCTTGGCTGCATCTCTGATCAGTCTTCTCCTTGTTTGAGATGAAAGTTTGGAGGGACGGCCGGGTCTTGGTAGATTTGCAGTGGTCTGATACTCCTTCCATTTCAATATAATTGCTTGCACACTGCTCCTTGAGATGTTTAAAGCTTGGGAAATATTTTTGTATCCAAATCCGGCTTGAAACTTCTCCACAACAGTATCTCGGACCCGCCTGGTGTGTTCCTTTGTCTTCATCGTTCTCTCTGCGCTTTAAACAGAACCCTGAGACTATCAAAGAGCAGGTGCATTTATACGGAGACTTGATTACACACAGGTGCATTCTATTTATCATCATCAGTCATTTAGGACAACATTGGATCATTCAAAGATCCTCACTGAACTTCTGGAGTGAGTTTGCTGCACTGAAAGTAAAGGGGCCGAATAATATTGTAGCCCCACTTTCAGTTTTTTATTTGTTAAAAAAGTTTAAATTATCCAATACATTTCGTTCCACATCACGATTGTGTCCCACTTGTTGTTGATTCATGACAAAAAATTAAAATTTTATATCTTTATGTTCTAAGCCTGAAATGTGGCGAAATGTTAAAACGTTCAAGGGGGACCGAAAACTTTCGCAAGGCACTGTATTAGCAAAGCAACACTGCACAATGCATCCCAACAGCCATGCCAAAAGTACAACTTTACTTTATATATCTTATCCAATTTGGAGATAATGAGAGAAAATGAATATCAATACAATAGACAGTCACAGCATGCAGGTCATTCAATGCAAGTCGCAGTTACAAAAAAGTAATTTGTAAAAAATGTAATGCTTTGCATGGACCCAGAAGTGCTGTGTTTTACATAAATACGACTGTCCCTTTGAACGGTAAGTCGACAAAGTAGCTATTGTGACAGGCCTGAAGCCGAGTCTTCTAAGTTTGACTTTACTCAAATATTCAGACACAGCTTGTAAATGTTAAACTATATGCTCTTTGGAATGTTTGTGATGTCACATTAACACAATCTTTTGGATGGTCAGCATACTGTGTTACCTGCAAACTGCTTCAAACTGTGGTCAGTGAAAAAATGCTGAATCCCTAGTATGAGTATTTCATTTTCACCTTTGTATTAGTTAAGCTAATACATATTAGTAATTCCATTCATTATACAACAACCACATATGAAACAAATACAAATATAATAATAAAGAAAACCTACATTGAAATACTGCATTCGCCTCTATCCTCCAATGACTCAACAGTCTGCTCAGAAATGAGCTGGCCCAATTTCAGGGTTTCTTATGTAAATCAGGACCAAATTGGGTGCCCTTTTGCCCCTGTCTCACTCTGTTGGAACGCACTGTGGGAACTTTAGGGCTCAAAACTCCCACCAAACAAACCAATGCACAAACAACACTCAGGAAAGTAATATAAAATAAGTCCAACTAAATATTAGTTGACAATTCATGTTTTTGTTGCTGCTCATGTTTACCTATTTAAAAGTAAACACTTTAGTTTACTCACACTTTGGTCTGAGAGCTGATTGGCCGAGTAAGGGTGGTCCTCTCTTTTTACATAGTATTGCATAGATTAATTTCTATGTGGTTTGAAAGTTAGGTATCTGAGCTGAAAGTCCACAGCCTTGAACCTGAAAGTAGAAGAGATACTACAACTCTATACTTACCATTCCAATTCATAGAATGATTCCGGTGCCATTTTTCATGGATCAGTTTTTACTTTTGTGCAAAATATTAGCATCTCTTTATGAGGATGTCCCACTTTCATTTACTTTTCTAAGGCACTGTCAGCTCTGTTCACTCTGTGCCTTTTCTTGGCCTTCAGTGCAAGGGCAGTGGAGCATGCTTTGTCCTAGAGGAACTTTCTCACAGAAGGATGCCATAAATACAAGCACGCAGAGAAAGAGGAAGTGGAACGACTCGAGGCTAGCAACTACTGCTCATGCAATCATATATTTTAGTCAAAGCAGAGACCATAACATTGTAACATTGACCGTTGGTACAAAATGTATAGGTTGCGCTTACTTGAAAGCACATACTATACTTTTTATATTTCTAAATCTAAAGAGACAAAAGTGATGATCTTTTCATTAAACTGGTTTTGGCTATTTGATAGATATAGCAAGTTGGTAAAGACAAGTCTGAAATTGTGACAACATCAAGTACATTTTATTAAAAGATCAATACGTTTAAGGTTCACGTTTGTAAAGTATAGTTAAGTTTGTAATGCGACAATTTGAATTACATCTGCAATGTTGGGGGCTACAGGGTTTTTGTTTTTATGAAGCTAAAATGTCGTTCTATATTATTGTATTTAGTATCTATACTTAATCAAATATATATGGTAGTTAAGATACTACTTTGTTTTTGCTAGTTTTGACAACCCCTAGTCGCTATACCATACAGTCCCCTGAATTGTCCCAACACAACCTTTTTGTCTTTTGCTAATTGCCCGTCTAGAGTGCATGTCTGGATGTTGTCTGGTCCAAGTTTGCGTTCAGTCTTTCCCACGTCTTTTGGCTGTAGCCCCATCTGTCTGCACCCCCCCTTCCTTTACGAGCCATCCCATTCATGCCTTTTGTACATAGGATAGGGGGAGTTTGTCGGGGGTCGCTCAGCTGTTCCACTCCGTGGGAATTTGCCCAAAAGTCTGATCCAACACTTGGCCAGCTTCAGATATAGAGTGTGCCTGGACCAGGACACACCAACTGCATTAGGACATGTAGACATAATCATATAGTTTAGCTGCTTTTTTTTTTTTTTAGTTTTGCATTCGTTTTTTTTAGCTATTTGCTTACCAAGTGCCTGGAGATATACTAAGTGCCTATACTGCGTCGAATGAGTGGATTTAAAAGAAACAGCTTTAAAGGGGATATTTTCTCGTTTATCATAAGCTAAAAGACAATGCAGCCTCCATCCGGAAGCCACAACGATGACGACTGTGTGCCAACGCAACTTTGTGGTGAGTTTTTAAGATGAAGATTTATTTTTAAAAATGCACTTCACTTTTGGGAGAACACGCTTGTGCCTTGTCAGTTAGCAACAAGTTTGGAGCAGCTAACTTTCAGTAACAAGTGGGTCTGCAGATGTGTTTTTATTTTGGCATCATTAGTATATCCAGTAGCTATAGGACTAAGGCTGAGTCATATTGTAAATGAGTTATTCAGAGGACTGTCAACTCATTTAGTAAGACAGTACTTGTTCTGTACATACAACTGGCCTGCAGAATTACATCATCTTCATCTGTGTAAAAAAAAATAAAAAAAAAATAGCTTGTTATGGAGTACTCATCAAACTGAATCAAGACTTTTAGACAAGCCAAAGAAAGTAGCAAATAATTTGGTCAGCAGCAGACAATCATGTTATCAGTCCAAAAAAATAACATTCAGTGTGCTAAAGCCTGTCTTGTTTTATTGGAGGAAAGCTATAGTAGTTGTGATGTTGCAAAAAGGGAGACGTCGGCTACATGAAAATGTTCATTATGCCCTCTGACAAAGACGGAAACATTTCAGGTAATTAAGTAGTACTAGCTTCTTTGTCTCTTTTTTGTCTACAAAATAACATGAAAAAATGACTATAAAGTTCTATCATCAAGACTTAGGTTACATGTATTCTTCCGAAGGTATAAAACTTAGAAGCTTGATATATATTAATACAGATAGCAAAATAATTGACTTTAAAATATGATATAATGTTTAAAAACATGTAGGCCAATTACCAACTTGTGGCTCAGGAAATGAATCAGGCACTCCAAGCAATCTGATCTGGCCCATGACTTATCTCTCCAAATTTAGAAAATATAGACATTGCTTTTTACCAGTGAGGTCCTGGTCTTTTACATTTTATTATCATAGTGGATGTTCAAATGTCAATTGTGTAGATAGTGGAATCGAATATAGCGTGTATGTTAAAAGTAACAATGGGTTTTGGGATTTTAATAATGACAATTTATGTTCCACCCTTTTAGTCGCTGTTTCAAGGTAAAGGTTATGAATAGTCGTGCTACTATACTTATACTAAAACTACTAGGGGGGGGGACCACAGGGTACCTCACGATACGATACGATATGCGATACAAAGCTCACGATAACAATAATTATCGATATGTTGGTCAAAAATAGACCTACTTTAATATTTGTCTTATATTTACGGCATACATTTATTTCAAGATAAATGGATAATGTGTAACATTAAAGTGAACAAGCAAAAATGCCTTTTAAGATAAGAATTTAACATGCACATTTTAGTAAAAATCTTACTTAATCTGTCTTACATCCAATAAAATCAATATGCACAATCTACAGAAATTGTAGAATGCGTAATGTAGGAATATATTAAGTATCAATACTTATTCCATCCATCCATTTTCTACCCTTTAATCCATTTCTGGGTCAGGGGGGTGGCAGTCAGAGATGCCACCCAAGTCTCATAGCACCAGCCCCTCACTGACCCTCTGCAGGTGGTGAGTCCACAGGAGGACAGCTGCTCTGAGTTGAGCATAGCCTTGATCTTTCAGTGGGGGCTTTTGGGCAAAGTGGGGTTAAGTGTCTTGCCCAAGGACACAACGACAGCAGTCATCAGTGGGAGTTGGTGGAGAAGGTGCAGAGGTGGGAATTGAACCCACAACCTTCTGGCCTTAAGGCCAATGCAATGGGCACTTATTTATTTTTTTAAATAAAGCTTAAAGAGAATGAACAAAAATAATACAAATAATTGATACTTAGCAAAAGTATATTGATAATCGATTGTGTGAGAAAGTATCACATTACATCACCATATCCATATATTGTCACACTCCTAATAACTAGTACTAATAGGCATGAGGTATTAACCAAGGGCCTTTTAAAATTCTGGAAAATTAAATTGAATAACCCTGCTCTGCATCAACAGTTGTATTGAATAAATCCAAAATCCAAAAACAATTATATTTCATGTCCAAAGTCAATACAGATATAAATATAAAAATAATAAGCTACAAAAAAGTAAAATCTCAACTTCAATACCTTTAGTGGAAAATAAAAAAATAACATTTGACATTGCTTGAATTGAGAGACAATCTTTGACAAACACAAAATATCAGGTAAAATCAAATAACTCAATATAGCTTGATGTATAGGCTTTAACTTAATCAACTGTTTGTAAATTGATGTTTCTTTTTTAACCTTCCATAGACGTAATTTTGCTGATAAAAGACTCAGATCATTCTATAATTGCCTTTAAATTCAATTCCATTTATTTTTGTAAAGCCCTAAATCACACCAGTAGTTATCATGGAGGACTTTACAAGCCGTCGAGTCGTCTACACAGATCAGAGAATCAAACAGGTCAAATACAGGAAATGAAATGATAAAAAACTCATAGAGCCATTGGTCCATAAGGAACAGATGACCAATGTCTATATATGTTGTATGTATGATAAAGTCCATAAATGTTGTTGAATGTCGGGTGTCCTGGATCAACATCACCATATTATTCACCTTTATTTATCCAGGAAGGTCCGACTGACATTTCAGAATCTCAGAATGTCTGCAGAATGAAGTATTTGTAATCAAACAACCCAATGTGTAAGAAGTCATTTCTATCAAGATTTTTCTCCAGGGACATCACTTGAGCTTTGTTTTGGTCATTCACTGACTTGTTGGGATCTAATTGAAAGTATCGAGTATTTACCTTTGATTATCAAAATAATTGTTAATGACCTTCATATATTTGCTGCCTGTATAAATACAAACAAAATCCTGCAAATAAATACATTTATTGTGGAAAGCTGTCGCAGGCTATTTTCAACTAAACCCAGACATTGTCATTGTATAAATTTGCCGGTATGAGACTTCATCCATATTGATATAGTCTTTTGCATTGTATCTCTGTCTGATGAATGGGGAGTCAGCTGATGTCTCGCATAGCACTTTCACATGGGGGAGACTGGAGGAAGGGCCAGACGTCTGCCTCCTCTGACCTCGAGAAGCCATGTAGCCAAACCCCCCACCGCGTCACCACACAGCCCCAAGGAACAAAGGGCTGTCTGTCTGGGGCTCTCATTTCACTCTTTTGTATTGTTTGTTTTAATTCTGTGGCAAAAAAATAGAATAAAAAAACACAGATTTTTTTTATATTTTGAAATGGAAGATTTAAAAGACGAGTTTTCAGTTTTTTGTGTGTTTGGTATTAAAGGAAGTAGTATCAGTATTAAAAATTCTTACACAAACTCAGTCTATGAGAATGGTCCTCAATTTTTTCTTCTGAAACCATTTGATAGCACACACTTTGATCATTTGCACCATACATTCCACAGTATCACTCTCGTCTAGAATATCAGACAAATAAGCATTTCATGGAAGCTAGTGTCAGTGAACAGTTTATATTGACAAAAAATTGTCAATAATAGAATTTTTTGACCAATATTTGTCCCAGTATAACTCAAGTCTATGTAAAAGGAAGACATACTATATTGTATCCATAATAACTGCAACATGGTTAAAACACCAGAAAAGATGATTATTACATATAAATCCTATAGATTGATCCCACAAGGGGAAATTCAAGTGACCAATAGTAGCCGGGACAGACAACACAGACAAAAGACAAACACATTGAAACATAAATAGTCAAATCTAATATAAAACACTAGATTAGATGTACTACTTAAGTAAGTAAGTAAGTAAGCTTTATTTATATACCGCCTTTCACAGACCAGAGTCACAAAGCGGTTTACAATTGTTATTTTTTTGGGCACTTGTCCTCTCACTCCACACAGAGATGGGAGCGGGGATTTAGATGTTGGCACAATGTTCTCTGACATGTATCATTTCAAAATCTGTACTTAAACATGGACTTTACTTTATGTCTGGGTAATATTACTTGTTTTTGGAAAATTGTTGCAAATTGAGAATGTAGAGTTCTTTGATATTCATTGACAGCTTCAATTAGAAGGCTGATATACACTCAACATAAATACAGTATGTATATTGATAGAAGTTGACTTAAAGGTGAATGGTATTGGAGAAGTACTGATAAAAGTCATAATATTTCTATTTAATTTTTAAGACTAATAAGCATTTTAAATGTTGTATTGTTTGAACCTCTTATTCTTTGAGCAGAAGAGTGAATAAAATTTAAGCAGCTTTCTTTCTCAGTCTTTTCTAAATACATGAATGCAGTTCCTCATTACTGTGGCCTTGTACTCTTGTCATCCCAAGTGCAGATTGCTCAGACACATGCATAATACATAATCATACAAAATGGTTTTCTTTTTAGACAGTGGAACTTCAAGCTATATTAACAAAGATTGATATTTTATTGTAGGAGGACATTTAGCTGTTTTACGTAATATCACATCAACTTTTGGTATAATCATATATTTTAAATCTTGTTTTCCTCAGACTAGGGCTAGGAAATAAATAAAATTAATGTAGCTAAGTGACTTTTTTAAAATGGTGATATCCACTATATAGTTTAAGCAAGTTTGGTGAAACAATTCGCAAATGTGAACAACAGGACAGTTTTCCAGAAAAGACACAACTTGGAATATATTTGCGATATGGGGTTAGGGGTCTTTGAAAGTCGAGCTTCTTTCATTAAATAGTAGTCTTCAATTATCTAAAAGGGACACTGAGTGTTTTGTTAATATTGCCCAGCCCTATACCATAAGGAGCTATTTTCTTCCTATTAAAACAAAAGTATTGAGAATTTAGACCGTGCCATATTTGCTGTTTAATACAAAAGCTTCAGCGTAATTAGTCATTTCTTCCAGTAGTGTTATTACTTATCCTCATCAGGATTATCTATTTAAAGCCTTTCACATTGTATGTGGAGCTCCACAAACTTGACTCATACTTGAAAAATTGTTCCGTTGGCCATATCCGTCTACATATGGTATTAAACATCTATTTCTGAGTCTTTGAATGTTTATTTCTATAGCAGGATATTTTGTTGCCTTTATGAATTAACATACTGTTGCTTTACGACATGAGTTTATATTCTGAAACATGAGTAATAAGTAAATGGGGCCACTTTGAGGGCTGCCTGGCTCCAAAGGCAATATCTAAATATATCTAAATATCCTCTGTGTGTGTGTGTCCTCTGTAGCCCAGCTGGAGTTTGTTCAGATCCTGGTCATCGTGGTGGTGATGATGGTGATGGTAGTGGTCATCACGTGTGTGCTGAACCACTACAGACTGTCGGCTCGCTCCCTCATCCAGAGACATGGGCCGGAGCGGAGGAGGCACCAGCCACTGGCCAATGTAAGACCACCACTCAATACGAAATGATCACACTGCAGCAGCAACAGCACAAGGAGTCAAACCAACATTTAGAGGACACCATTGGGGACATCCATTGTTTTGAGTTGTTACATGTTACAACCTTGTTCCCCATCAAAAACATAATAATGATAATAATGCATCGGTTTTACATAGTGCTTTTTTGGACACTCAAAGACGCCTTACATTTATTAATTCACTCCATACACAGTGGTGATAATCTGCTACTGTAGCTACAGCTGCCCTGGGGCACACTGACAGAAGCGAGGCCAATGGCACATACTGACCACCACCAACCATTCACACACACACTAGACTCATTCTAGGCAATGGGGGTGAAGTGTCTTGACTAAAAATACAACGGCAGTTTGGCACTTTACAGCCGCAGCCGCCCCACTGTGGCATCAGGTGTTCCCAGAGGTTCAGTGTCATGCCAAGGACACAACAGCAGACTTCAGAGGGGGTCAGTGGAGAAAGTCTTATGGAGGGCTCGAACCCATAACTTTCAGGCTAAAGGCTCTACCAACTGAGCTACTGTCGTTCTGAAGATGTTTTTTGCTCCATCCACACTAATACAAGGCCTTAAATGAACAAAATGTAATTACCCACCTTTTACTTCATTATACAAATATATAAATATCACCTTCTTAAAGTAGTCTCAATTTAAATGGCCAAGGAGGATTGAAAATAAGTTTTTTCTTACAAGATATTTAAGTTTATATATCTAAAAACATGTTCAGCCAGGGGGGTAGTGCTCTCTGAACCTAGAAATGAATTAAGGGGAGGAAAATGGATGGATGGATGGATGAATGCAAGTTCAGCCAGAACTGAAAGCAATTATTGAAAGCATCCACCAGCGCTTGCCATATCACATGTAATCACTTAATCCAAGTGTCCTAGGCTCACCGCCAATGCTCTGATAATGATTCTAATGTTGTTATTGTTGGAAAGACATCTAACACTCAATAAAAGCATTTAAAGACTAATTTGACGACTCATCTGCAATTATACAAGTGAAAGTATTCAACCTGTGACTCATGCATTCTTCCACCTTCATATTAGCATTGCATTAGCAGACACTGACATAAAAAATACTTTACAACAAACTCCTCTAATTAGTTTTTATACACACTAGTTAACAAGTCTAGCTGGCTTTATTTTCAAGTTTTGTCTTCAAATAAAGGCTTTTGTCAAGTCATTGTAAAACCATCCGAATTTCATTTCTAAATTAGGTTCGAGACTTGCTTTTACAGGTACCGCTCTATTTGCATACAAGCAGCTCGTCTCAAAGCATATTAGTGCTGCATAACTTTACTCTGACTTTACCTGATCTGACTGGAAATGGGTGGAGTGGTCAAATTATGTAATACTGTGAGTTCAAAAGAGGTTGGTTCATGTGTGGATCATTAATTAAATATATTTGCTTTCGCAGGAGGCCAGTCTGTGGTCTTCAGAGGGGACTAGTGTGGCTATAAATGAGGTGAGTTGTTTTTTCTTCAGTTCTATCAGTTCCTGCTGGACATGAGCCTACTAATCCATGCTCTCAGCTCCGCTCTGATATTCACCAACCATTCACACACACCATACTCTCATAATAGGCAACGCTGGTGAAGTGTCTTGCCAAAGGACACAACAATGGTTCGGCAATTTACAGCCACATAAGCCCCACTGTGGCACCTTCTGACCAGTGCTAACCAGGCTCTGCCCTGCTTGCTTCCAAGATCTGACAGGAAGTGGAAAAAAAACCTGAGGAAAAAAAATGCCCAGCAATCAAGATGTAACCCACAAAAATGTCTTCATTAAAAAAGTGTATTTTTTATAATGACTAAAATTACAAACATTATTTTTAATTTTGAACAATAGAAATGTCTTAAGTAATGATATGTAGTAAGTCCACTTAGAACACTTAAGAATTTGACCTGTCATTTTTTTTTTTTGACTTCTTCTTTAACTGAAAAGACTGGCCTGGAGTCAAGAAGTAGTCCCTTTATAGCAAAAAAAATTATTACAGTCTGCTGGCTTGAACCACAACCACCTCGTGCAAAGCAATGGTGGGACAGAATGAAAGATGTGTTAAATATGGAAAAAGTAACTGCAAGGTGAAAGAACAAAATGAAAGAATTTGAGGACCTGTGGCGACCCTCAATGTTGGAGACAATGGAAATGTAATCACCCCACAAAAAGTTTTTCGTTTCTTTTTTTTTTTTTTTTCTTTTGTGATTGTTTCTTATTATTTAACTACGTTCGTGTTTTATCTTATTTTTTATTCTTTGTCTTTGTTTTTATTTTTCTCTTGTTTTACTGGGTGTAGGTACACACGGGGGAAAGGAAAAAAATAAGAGTGATAAAAACGAGATGAAAAAGTGACAAATGTGGCCATAATATGACGACAATGTGACGATAAAGTGACAAAAATGTGACGACAATGTAACAAAAAATGTGACGATAAAGCGACAAAAAATGTGACGACAATGTAACAAAAAATTTGACAAAGATGTGACCATAATAGGACGACAAGGTGACGATAACGTGACAAAAATGTGACCATAACGTGACAAAGATGTGACCATAACGTGACAAAAATGTGACGACAATGTGACAAAAATGTGATAAAGATAGGACCGTAATGTGACAAAAATGTGACTATAACGTGACAAAAATGTGACGACAATGTGACAAAAATGTGATAAAGATAGGGCCGTAATGTGACAAAAATGTGACTATAACGTGACAAAAATGTGACGACAACGTGACAAAAATGTGACAAAATGTGGCCGAAATGTGATAAAAAAATGAGACAATAAAAAGAAAATTACAAAAAAAAAATAAGTAGTCCCTTTAGAGAACATTAATCAACGTGCTGATACATAGTACATACGTTTTGAGAACCTCTAGCTTACACTTCTAGCTTACACTTTCCCACAGAACACAGCCCAAACACTAACAGCCCCATGTGTGTCGCAGGCACAGGTGTACAGTGCACGCCCCCCTCACAGGCTGCAGCCCTCCACAGTGCCGCCACGGTTCCAATCTCCGTACGGGGCGAGCCGCTTCCAGCCGACGTACCCGTACCTACCCCGGGGCGTCATCGAGCTGCCACCCACCATCGCACTGTCGGACGGAGAGGAACCCCCACCGTACGCTGGTCCGTGCACGCTGCAGTTGCGCGACCCAGAGCAGCAGAGAGAGTTGAACAGAGAGTCAGTGAGAGCGCCCCCTAACAGGACTGTGTTCGACTCGCAGCTGCTCAGCCAAGGCAACTGCGCGCACAGGTGAGGAGCGGACCGCAGTCGGCCCATTCACACAATCTGTATCAGAATCAGAATCATTTTTATTGCCATGTAAGTAATAGGAAGTTGGAAATTGTTTTGGCTCAGTGCAACTGTCAGAAAGAAAGGTAAAGAGTAGACAAGGCATAACAAAAAAAGTAAGTAAGTAAGTAAAATAGTACTTTTTTTACTATGAATGGTATTTATGAGTAAACAGCCTGAACTGATTCTCTGTATTCTTAGTTCTGCTAGTTTACAAAATAAATGTGAACCACTTACCCTCCTTTCCTTTTTCTCCAAAACAAAAATTGGGGAAGAAAGTGGTCTGGAGTCTTTGACAAGCTGAGACCATGTAGTTTTGGCCTCTAATGACTCATTTACTCTAATTATAAGTGCAACAAATTTCTACACAGAAAAAATCAAACTCCAATTCTCTGGTAAATACAAATGAGGGTATAGCTGGCTCTATGCCCTCCTACTAATCCTGCTATGCATATAAAATCCATATTCACTTTTTTGCAAATATTTGGACTATACATATTTAGTGGATGGGGGAAACAGGAGCTCCCGAAGAAAACCTGAGCCCCAGGACGAAACCTACGCAGACATAGGGAGAACATGCAGACTCTACTTATAAAAAGCCCTGGACTGATCGGGATTTGAACTCAGTGCCTTCTGTCTGATAAGTGGGAGTTCTAACAACCTAAGCAATAATTCCAGGAGTTTTTATGAAATGGTTGACAAAAAAAATATTCTGCCAAGACTTGATTAGCATAGCCTTTCAAACCTGAAAGAAAAGGGTTAATCCAAACTCTCGAATAGACTTATTTTTAACCCAAATCTTTACCTGTGTCTCTCCAGTTTGCAGTTGCCGCCACCTAGCGTCCACTCCGGTATGAGCGTGTTGGAAGCCCAGGAGTCCCGTCAGCACAAACAGTCTCGGGTCGACGGCGCCCCCCCCACCTACAGCGAGGTGATTATTGGACACTTCTACCACCCTCCCGATCTACCACCCGGCCACAATCGAACTCCTAACCGGACCAGCGCCAGAACTAGCAAGGACAAGCCTCACAAACCGCAAAACGTTTGACAGGCAAAAGGAAAAAAACAGGAAAGACGCCAGGGAAATCGAATGCGGGGAAAGAAAAAGCACTTACATCGAACCTCGGATGGCTTCCCCTATTCGGCCGCCGCATTCCTCTTGCAACTCTGTACCTGTTTTTATTCCTATCATAGCGAAACGTTGCAATCTCTCCCCTCTGTCAGGCCATGTTTGTTATCTCTTTTACGATAATCCCCTGTTTGCTGCTTTTAATGGCATGGATTTAAGTTACGGTTTACGGCGGAGGCTCCTATAGCGGACTTAAGCACGTTAGCGCTTAGTCTTAAGAATAGCAAACTAGCTGTAGCGAAAGTGCTGAAAGTCTTCCTGATGGCGGTTCTTCGAATAGTTCTTCTTGCGGAAATATTGGACCAAATGTACGAAAAATAGAAAAAACACATTTTGGACGGATATCCAGGTTTGGATTCAAGCTAAACAAATTGATAAAAGTAATACTACCACACCCTAAATGTTTTGAGTTGTTGGCGTAAATCCTAGCTAACAATGCTAAACAAAACATATGTTAGCATAACATTAGCACAGTAGATAATGTTCTCATCCAATTCCTGTTTGTATCCATTTTTGTTTCATTTGGAGAAAACTTAAATTCTATCAGAAATTTGAAAAAGGTTTATCCGGTAATTGAAGACACCAAATTGAAAAATAGCACACTTTCGTTTGGTCCGATATTTTTTTTCCGCAGTCCATGTCCAATAGGAGCAGCACTATGTTAATTCTTGAGAAAACTTTGCACAAAACTGTTCACCGCATTGGGATAAAAGTGAGATTATGTAAAGTAGGCATATTTTTCTAAACTTTGCTTTTACATATTGTAGTTTTAGATGAGAAAAACGAAAGAATCTTGCGAGTCGTTCGCGTTTACAAGCTCCACACATGTCGACCTGTTCCAAGACATGCACGCAAGCAAGAGAGAAAGCACGATTTAAGATTTTATTCATGAAAATGCTGAAAATGTTGCACTATCTATTGTGCAGATGTGACGCACGGCAGACTTATTCCTGGGGAGTTATTTCGTTTTTGCCTTGACCACATGCCAAGCAACAGTGCACATTGCATACCCTGGCAAAAAGTCGGACTCTACGCCATTATTTTATTAACCCTTGGAAGCATGTCCCAGGTTTTATGCAAAAGTACGAGTCCTGAAGCGTAAAATGTTTCCAACTTTTGACCTGAGCGCCTAATCAAAAAATAAATCTCCAAAAACACCTCTCTTACTAGCCACCACTTTTAGACTCGTGAAATCGTTCAATCCCAAAGCGGGCTCTCACTACCTCGACCACGCAGTGAAGCACATTTTTATAAGTTAATCATCACTTTTACTTTTCCACATCGGCCGAATGTCTCAACTAATCAAGACGATGTGTTAAGTTTGTAGCATTAGCTAGATGTAGCGAGAATAGCTAATAGTATGTGTTTTTTTGTGAGTGCAGTGAAAGAGGTGGTTGGAGTGAGATTTTGAAAAAAGCCATTTGGTTCTCAGGATCAGATTATTTCAAAATGCCATTGGAACTGTGCACTGTTGCTTCCGGCGATCCACACCTGTCCAAAATGTTCATCAGTTTTTTGCGACATTTCTGAGCACTTTATTGCAGCGGGCAAGAGAAAGCAATTGTGGTAAAAATTACGTCAGCCATCATCAGACCAGAAGTAAGGAAACAAAAAACGACTTGCTGTGAAATGGTGGAGTTGAAAAGTTTCACAGGCTGATTTTTTAAGAGATGCTTATAGAGATACTGCAAAATGTTATCAAAAACGGTTAAGAGACAATTGATAGGTCAAGGAATAACTACATTTATATTGATGGGTAGATATAACCATAAATTATCACGTTTAAATTGGATAAACCATGAAATTTAACATGATTTGAAATTACTGTTTTTAGTAATAATATTAATAATAGTACTCTTTTTACCCATAATAATATCAATACAAAATATGTATCTGTAGAACCAATATAGCGCTAGTTTTCCCGATATCAGGTCTTCATTAAGCAACAATCAACTTCCAAAATTACCAGTAGTGTAAATGTCCTCCTTTCAAATTTTCCTCTTTTAATTTGTACTTTGATGCTATTTTGTAGCCAGACTCTTTGTGCTTATGCAGCGCCGGGCAAGTTGTCGAAACTAGGCACACTGGTGTGTTGACAAGTGACACGAGTGCTAATAGCAACTCGTCCGACGTCATCGCTTCTCAAGATTTGCCTGTAAAACTTTTTTTGTGTTAACTCCACCATTCTTCTGAGCACCTGTTCACAAACTCCTGCCGAGTTCAGAGCCTCGTGTAATGTTCAGTCTTTATGCAACAGCGCCCTCTTGCAGGAACCACACCAAATTACACACAAGACTCCAAGGCCAAAAATGAAGTTTGACAGTTAGTGGTTAGCTTTTGAACTAAATATAAAAATAAAATTGATGATAAATGATTTTAAAAAAACTTCAGTAAAACTGTAAAAAGTTATTTATTTTAGAATTTAATTTTTTTTTGTAAATATTGTAGTAATTAGATTATTCTAGAACTTGCATTTTAGCTTTAGAATGCGTTTATCTTTTTTTGTGCCTTATGCTTAAAAATACTCTCTTCTGTTTTGTCCATAGAAGTAACCATATTGTTTTCATAAAAGTTACTTTTTGTAAATAACCGTTAATATTTTGTATAGTTTTATCTTTTATAATCATCATAATTCTTCAAGACAAACTCGTTTTAATCAGAAGTGTGCAGTGTGCGCCGCTTCATCCTTCACTCCAATTTCAGCTGCTGATCATTCTGCGCTGTGCTTATAAAGATTTATGTTATATTTAAAATGAGTTTTCCCTCAAATCATTACTTTTAGAGATCCCAAAGTAGCGCAAGGAGTGAATAATCAGATTTTTACTGTGATAAGACACAAGAGTGTCAAAATGTATATTTATTTTAAATGTGTTTTACTTTAAAGTGTTTTCCATGCTAAGGGTTTGCAGCGGGTACGACTGGGCGGCTCTGAATGAGGCTTACAAAGTTCAAACAATACAAAACAAACTACTTGTTGAAAAGTAAAAAGAAAAATGATGGCTGATGAGCAAATAATTTGAAGATTCAATGGTGCTTTTATCAAAAGCAATTTATTTCATGAATATGGGGTTATTCAAAAGTCACTTAAATGTTCACACAATAATACAAGTGCTTGAAGTAAGTAACTTTGTAAGTAACTTTTGATATATTTGTATTTTGACTGTCTTAAAATTCAAGTAATTATGTCATGTTTTCCAAAAGGAAAGAGACAAAAGAATGTTTTAACATTGATCCCAAAAAAACAATAGACCTTAATTTTTTTGAAGCTCTAATTACAGAAAAGTCAGAATGGTTTGGCGGTCATCCCCCTACCCTTTCTGTCTTTATTTGTCTTTTCAAACTTGTTACACTATGACAAGATTTCTCATTGTGTAAACATCATAGACTATAGTTTTGTGATCTTTTTCAGTAAAATGCCCTTCTTTACAACTCTGTTCCTTCAATTTAACCTTTGTCATGTTAGATGTTTACTAGAATTGCTGAATATAAGATTTCCCACTTCTACCAGTAGGAGGAGGCATTTGACGATTAAAAATCCCAATTACCCATTTATTTTCTACTTAAGACACATTATTTCACATTCTAAAACACAAATAATGCACCATATTTTAAGACAGTCAGAATGTTCACAATGTTAGCTAATCCAAGCCAGTTGTCATTTTTCAACAACTTGACAACCCCCACATTTGGACTTGTCTGTCCAGTACAATCTCTGCCCGTCCCCTGGAAATGCCTGATTTGACCCAGTTTCCCCTCTGACCACACACTCCCCCTTCACTGGAATAAGTCTGTCCCGTAACTCTGCGTCTCCGTACAAGTGTGCCTGATGTACGGCAGTGGTTCTCCGGGCTGTCAATCATCCCGGACCACGCCCCCACCCCTCCACACGTCTCAAGAGAAAGACGATTGGATGATGACGATGTTTTTTGTTTTGTTTTTCTAGAGCGTTGCAATACACCTCCATTTTGCCTTTTTTAATAGTAGTCTTATTTGAGAATAGCGAGTCAGTTTAAAAAAAAAAGTTTCTTGTTGTAAAACTTTCTTTAATCTTTCGAGTGTATTTTTGATTGTTTGTTGTGAAAAAAACATAGAGATTAAACTACCTACTATACATTGTGTGCTTTTGGAAAACGTAAAGGATGAAAAGGCGCAAGAACAAGTTTGGGGTTTAGAGACATAAGCTGACAGTGGCTTGCAAATGTATACAAAACATGAACTTTTCCACATTTTGTCACAAGCATAGTAATTTTCTTTTAGATATTTGTTTTTTTATGGAATGAACACAACAAAGTATGATATAATAGCAGGAAAATTCAAAATGTAGTTGTACTTTTGCAAACCACTGTATACTTTGGTAATCAGCAGTCTGGAGAGACCAACATGAAAATACAGTTGACCGTAGAACACTCACCGCAGGAACCTTTTACACTTTCTATTTTTTTTTTATTCTTGGTCCCGTTTTGGGCGCGTTCACACTTTATAGGAACAAAGGATAAGTGGCAGACCAATGAAATCAGATACAAACTATTGGAAGAACATTTTAGAAAACTGAAATTCTTATCTATTGCACATTATCTACACACCTGAGTAATGCCCATAAAGAGTAAGTTAGATATGTTTTTACAAATTAATTAGTTTGTCTATTATACAGTACGAATAATTGTTAATTTGATATGAAATTACTTAACTATTTCCATACATCCAGTTACAGCCACTTTCTGTCATTTTATAGTGTTTTAAACCAATGGATGTCTCTAACTAAATAGTACAGGAGCTGATATGTGTGAAAACTCCTATTTAAAGCGGAGGTACCTAAATTTTGTTCTATAATTAATATTATATAGAGTATTGTTCAGACCCCAACATATTGATATTGTCTTATTCAAAAACCTTAGCATATTTGTTAGAAAGAACTCTGT